AGTATCTCTGCTAAGAAAACCCCATACAGGGTCACAAAAGTCAGACACAACTAAATGACTAAAGAACAACAACAACCAAAAAAGCATTTTTTTTTTTTGCATTGGCAATGATATTCATTAAACTTGGGTTCCTTGGACCTACTCGGGCAGCTGTTAGGGAGAAGGTTCCTTCTTGCTCAAACTAAGCCTAACCCTTTGCCAAGAAAACCCCACGAATGGTATTGATGTACTATGGTCCACAGAGTCATGAAGAGTCAGACACAACTAAATAATTACAATGCTTTTTTTCTATTGTCCCAAGTCAAGAGACTTTCTGAAATCTGGAACTATACATTAGCTAATTACTCAGATACCTGGGAATAAAATATATCCTAGTTTTATAAGGTTTGTTGATTATTAAGTTTATAATTAAAAATAATTTTAAAAATGATAATGGGGGAAATTTTAAAATAGATATAATCACTAGACTTTGGTGTGTCTATAGAAGATCATTGAGGGAAGACAATGTGTTTAATCTTTACTTTGTCCTCTAGCACCTGGTGGCATTCTCTACCCATAATTAGCTATTAATAAAGTTATGTTGGGTTGCATAAAGAAAAGTGGGGGTTGAGGATAGGTGCATTATACATAGTGGAAAAAATATAGTACAGTGTAGTATAGTATAGTGAAAAAATAATGATTAGGAGTCCAAGGACTTGGGTTTGAACCTCGTCTCTGCCACTTACTATATGGCTTTGGGAAAGTTGCTTTTTACTTTATGAGACTCAATTTCCTCATCTATAAAATGAGGGGTTTGGATTAGATGGTCTCTGTAGTCCCCTACAGCTTAAGAGCCTGTGATTGAGATGGAAATTTCTACCAGTCTAATAATGCCTTCCCTGTTGAAGAGAGAGCAGTGTGCGGTCAAGGAGGACACTACACTGTGTTATTTATCTCTGTTAGACTGTTGGAATGTTAAAGAAATTGAATGAAATATTCATGAAGACCTTCCCTTAAATAATTTTTTTTTCTTAAAGAGATGGTATTTCTATGTGTATTTCCACCAGTAATTACATCCAAAAGGCAAACCTCCACCTCTCTCTCTCTCTCTCTCTCTCTCTCTCTCTCTCTCTCTCTCTCTCTCTCTCTCTCTCTCTCCCCCTCGTCTTCTTCCTAAAGTTAGAGATAATGCAATTGTCCTCTCCCAAAGCTCACCCAGCCCCCCTGCTCCAGCTTCATCAAAGTCCCACGGCACACAGCTGTAGAGACTGATTTATGAAAGGAGGAAGAGATGGAATGATTCTATGCCTTCCATTCCATTGTCCCTTACTATGCTGCTCCCCACTTCTCCTCCTAGTCACCACTGCCTCTTCAAGCCCTCCTCCTTTCCTCAGCTCACAGTGCTCAAGGGAAGGGACCCAGGGGACCCATAGCATGAGGCAGCTAGGTGGTACAATGGATAAAGTTTTGGAGGACCTGAGTTCAAATCTGAACTCAGACATTTACTAACTGTATGACCCTGGGTAAGTGTCTTTTGTTTGCCTCAGTTTCCTCAACTGTAAAACAGGGACAATAAAAACTAGCATCTACCTCCCAGGGTTGTTATGAGGAACAAATGTGGTAATATTTGTAAAGTGCTTAGCACAGTGCCTGGCACACAGTAAGTGCTTTATAAAATGCCATTATCATTATTGTAAAGTATATTCCATAACTTCACAGACATAGGGGTTGGTTCACTATTTTGATCTTTGTATTTGCTGGTGCCTAGTAGAGTGGCTGGCATATAACAGGTGTTTAATAAATGCTACCTGATTGATTGAGATGTGTGTTTGAGGCTTTGAGGGAAGAGTAGAGGTGGGAGTAGGGAAGGCCCCAGAGGGATCAGGGCTCTTCTTTGTGCTCAACAGGCTCTGAAGCTCTGTGGGCTCTTAATACAAAGAATAGTCCTCAGTAAGGACTAGAACATGAATCCAGAACAGTAATGTAGTGCAGGTGGTATTTCTCTTGGCAAGAAATAGGCCACAGTCACACATGCCCTTGAACTGGACTCTATTATTATTGTGTGTGTGTCTGTGTGTGTGTGTTTTAAACTTAACCCCCAAATTTGGAAGTACAAGTCAGAAGACTTGGGTTGGAGCCTTGGCTTTGCCATATTGGCTGTGTGACTTTGGACAAGTCTCAACCCCTCTGGTTTGTTTCTGCATCTGTAAGATGAAGGGAGTAGAGCTAGGTGATCTCTAAGCTCTAATCTGGGATTTTCAACAAGCAACCTTTACTTCCTGACAAAAAGAATGATCGGGCTGTTTTTTCATCTACATGAAGGACACAAGACAAGAGGAAGAGGTTTGGAAATATTTAGAAAGGAATCAGATTAGATAAAAGCCTGATAGTGAAGGTTATTAGATAATGGACATGAAGATAGGTAATTACTATATTTATTTGATTACTATATGAATCTATCATGTCTCATTATCCTGGAAGCACCCAAAAGAAAGAGACTATATATCTTCTATCCTTTCTTTCTATTTTCATTGAATTCATCTTAGGGCTACTTACACAGCAAATATTTCATCAAGGATATTTTGACTGACCTCCTTAGAGTAGAAGTATTAAACTTAGAGCCAACTGTCTGATTGACTGCTCCCATGCCCCTAGCTGTCAATATCATCTATTCCATCCCTGTGTGGGCCCACAACACTCCCTGACATAGCCCAAACCTGATAAAAGCATGGATCCTATCTGATTTTAATGTGTTGCTATGTTAGTTACATAGAATTATATATAATATGATACATATTATATATAATAATCACAAATTTATTATATAACATATCATATACAATTTATTTATTATAGCAATGATAATAAATTATATATGATTATGTTATATAACAATATATAATATATAATTATAAAATATGGCATATTTTATTATATACAATATTAATATATAACATAGTCTATATATAATTATATGCAGATATATGTATAAACATGTGTGGTTTTCTAAGTCATGCAACTCTTAGGGATCTTTATTTATAGTTTGGTGGCCCCCCTTTCTATGTGAGTTTGACACCTCTGCCTTAGGGGATATTTACTGGTATTGATCAGTGGATGCTGATTTTTGATCTTTTAAGGGGATTCAGGACTTGGCCTCTTAGAATAGATAAATACTTGATTGGAGAATCTGGAGACTTGGGTTCTTCTAGTTCTAGCTCTGCCTATCACTAATTAGTGCTGTGAGTTTGGGGCAAGTTACCTGACTGTTCTTGGCATTAGCTTCTCTTCCTCCATGAAATGAGGATGTTAGGGATGGAGGACCCATAGGACTCATCCTTCTTCTGGTAGCATATGGTTCTGGTAGCATGGGAGTCCCAGTATCCTGTCCATGAGCCTCAGTTTGGTTCTCACACACAATTCCACTGATCTGAATTGTGTGGTATTGTGGACAGAGTCTAGGACTTGAAATTAGAGGGTTTGGGTTCAAACTCCAGCCCTACCACTTACTGTGTGACCTTGGGTAAGTCATTTTATTTCTTGAGACCTCAGTATTTACAGGGATAAAATAAAAGGGGTTGGACTAGATGACCTCTAAATTCCCTTCCAGTTCTAAATTTGCAATCCTATGACTCCATGAGAAAAGAAGGCATATGGGGGAGCTCGCTTGAAGATAAGTTCCAAGCTAGGCTCACTTACCTGGGAGGAAGGATGGAGAATGACTGGGGCCTGGGGTTTCCCCAAGCCAAATTTCAACCAGCAGCCATTTCCTCAGTTCAAGGCTCTGTCTCTGAGTCAGAGGCTTTGGTGGGAAAGTGCAGAGCCAGCTTGGGGGGATAGGTGGGGCAAAAGACCCTTGAAACTGGGGACCAATAGGCTGTGTCCATACATGGCAAATATTCCAAAACAAGGTTGCATTTACAGGACAAGTCTAGATGAAATTGCTTAACATGGAAAATGAGGAAGAGAAGAATAATCTCAGTATAGATTCAAAGAAGAGAGACCCTGATCCTTCTCCATAGTTAAAGAAGGTTTTCAGTGCTATTCTGCCTGAAGGCAAGGGACTGGTTAATTGAACCATGGAAGTCTAGGAACGTATGCTCAGGGAGAGTTTACTACTCTAGAGTAATTTTTTTTTAAAAAGAAAATTAAAGGTCTACATCTTTAATCTCATTGGTGTAAGCTGCTGTAGATGAGGAAATTCCCTCTATCAATACAGATCTGAAACTATTCTTCCAATTAGAATCTTAGAGAATTATTTGAGGCAGTGAAGGGGTTTAGTGATTTTCCCAGGATCACTGAGCCAGTAAGTATCAGAGATAAAATTTGAACCTAGTTCAAGTGAGATAATATTTGCGTAAAAAAGCACTTAGCACAATACCTGGCACATAGTGGGTGTTATATAAATGTTAGCTATTATTATTATTGTTATAATTATTTATTATTATTATTATTATTATTATTTATCCCGTGTCTGAGGCTGGCCCTCAAACCGCTATGCTAGGCTGCCCCTGGAGTGATATCAGGGCTATTTACTTTGTAATTACCACAGGATTTAGATAACATTTCTGTTCTACTGAGAGAGGCTTATGTAAAAATCCTAATTAATTAGTAACAAACTACCAGGCCAAATAGATAATCCCAAATGTAGAGAATGACCATGAGGTATGGACACAGCCTGTTCTCCCAGCCTTAGGGGGAAGGGGGAGGCCAGTGCACCAGGCCAGGCAGCACCAGCACCAGATGGTGTGTGAAGCCTCAGAGCTTCACCAACAACAAATGCCACCAACATGCAGCAGAAATGCCAATTTCACTCCCATCCCTGCCCACACTGGGTGGGCAAGGGTGGGACGTACGCGCAACCATCCCAAAGGAAGGAGACCACAACATTCAGACGGTTGGACTAACCCCACTGCCCAGCTGGGGGGTCAAGAAATAGGGCCCTAAGTGCCCTTCCTTTCTCTCCCCACGAAAGACCTCACAACACATGCTTACTCGGCTTAAGACCTGACACAGCTACCTACCCGGGTCGTTGCCAAGATTGACACATCGTCTCCAAACTCCTTCACACACTCTGTCCTCGTGGCCTCTGCCCTGGGGGACTGAGTCCCAGCATTCCAAACAGGTCCCCTCGGGAGAAAGGTCATATCACCATAGAAAGCACCGTGGATAACGTTCCCACCATCCAGCTGTACCCTGGCCATCCTCCAAATCACTCTCTTGGGCTGGCATTCAAGTCAGTAGGAACATAAGGAAGCAGCAGTCAAAAAAGACGCAGAAGAACTGCCCCAAGACTTCCCAACCTTTCGGAAGGCAGAGCGTTTGAGAAGGGGAGGGAAGGGATGGCGAGACTCACTCCTTATTACCACCTCTCATCCCGACAACTCTCTTGAAGTGTTTGGAGGACTGACCAAACAACCCAATCCTCCATCCCCAAAGCCAATGCAGTCCCCATCACTGACACACCTCATCCAGCCCTGCTCCAACGCTCCTCTCTCCCCGCCCCCCTTCTGGGTCATATTCCTTCTGAGAATATAACCTTCTGAGTTATACCCCCAGGTGAGAGAGAGGCTCCTTGGGGAAGGGGGTCTTCCCCGGGGAGGGGCGGGGCGGGAAGTAAAAAAGTCCTGGGAGTGGGGCGGGGAGCTAGGAAACTGTCCTACCTTGTCACTGTCGACTGTGTTCTGAGAGGTCCTGGAAGCGATGGAGATGGTGTCTGGTTGACTGCTCCCATCCCCCTGGCTGTCAATATCATCTACTCCATCCCTGCAGGGGAAAAACAAGGGGGAAGGGTGGAGGGAGAGGGAATGAGCACGGGCTTAAGAAGCACTCAACAGTTTCTATCAGGGAATGGGAGAGCACTTTCAGGCAGGGATTTGGCTCAAATCACCCAGCTGGAAGAAGGTTCACTCTGTGATTTTCAGTGATGTCACCTTTGACATGGGGCAAAGCCCATAATCACCATGTTGGTGGCTGCAAGCAGAAGGAGCCCTCCCCTCACAATTCCCCAGGCCAGCACTGGGCACAGGTCTATAAGAGGCAGCAGGAGGACGCATCATCTTATTTAGAGCCCAGGCTCTGACCAAATGACAGAGTGGCTGCTAGCAACCCTAGATTGAAGGCTATTCAGGCAGCTCTGCCCTGTGCTGTATCCAGGCTGGGAGTGGGGTGGGCAAGTAGACCATAACTAATGTGAGGCTGTGGAAAGAAACAAATGAGCAGAAGCAGCAGGGTTGCTACTGGGAACTGTCTGACCTGTTCTTGATTTGTGCTCCTAACGTTGGTGGGGTGGGGGTGGTACAGCTTATTTTGTGGTCAGCTGTTTCAGTTATATCCAACTCTTTGTGACCCCATTTGGGGCTGGCAGAGATACTGCCATTTTCCTCTCCAACTCATTTTACAGATGAGGAAACTGAGGCAAACAGTGAAGTGACTTGCCCAAGGTCACACAGCTGGTAAGTGTCTGAGGCCGGATTTGAACTCAGTGCTCTAGCCATTGTACCATCTATTTGCCCCCGGAACATGTTGCAGAGAAAAGAAAACTGACCTGGGGGAGCAGGAGGTGTGAATTTTTTTAGTCCCAGCTCTGCCATTAATGTAAGTTGCTTCTCTCTGGCTCTTCGTTTCTTTACATTAATAATTGATTCTTTGAAATCAAGGGGTTGGACTAGGAAATCTCCCAGGTCCTTCCTAGTTCTAAGCACTGGACAAATTCTGCAGGAAGGATTTCTCTTTGCTGAATCTTTGTTACTGGAGACTCAGTTTTTGGTTGCCAACGAAGTCACTTTTTTTCCTAACTCTTTGGTACCCTCAGGGACAGTGTGATGCATCAAAAAAAGTTTTAAGACGAGTTCAAATCCTGCATCCTACTTGTTTGACTGGGCAAGTCACTTTGTGACTCTAGGCCTCAGTTTCCTTGGCTGTAAAATCAGGAGGTTGGACTAAATGATCTCTATCCAATTCTCCAGTATCTTTATTCAATGATTCTGGAATCATTAACAAAGCAGGTCAGACTATAGGCTCCAAGATAAAGGTGCTAGCCATATCCTGCCTACATCAGCCTTTGGATAGCCATATAAGGAGTAGGGGACATTCTTGTGTCTATAAATTCCTAAATATTTGGTAGGATTGGATACTGGCTGCTCCTGGCTTTTAGCTCTGCTATCCCTGGCAGCCTCACATATCTCACTTCTCCAAATTGAGGACATTCTAAATGTTTTTAAATGGAGCACTTTGGTAGAGGGGAGGAGGGTGGATCAGGAAATATGCTTGTATACATTACAGTTCCCCTGCCCCCTCATGCTGGGGCCATGCCCCACTCTTCCACTGAGTCCATAGCCAGGACCACACTGGCCACACCATTTGGCACAATCCACAGGGCCATAGCTTCTTGATAGAAATAGACAAGACTTTGGTCCCATTCTAGTTCTCTCTTTTTTGGTGAAACCAACAATAGGCTGAATTTTTGTGTTTGAAAGAAGAGACAGGAGTCCCCACTTGGTAGGGAGTTTGTGAACAGTGATGGAGGAGTCATCCCAGAGAACAACCGTTCTTGCCATGCAGAGTTCTCTAAGAACCACATACCTGATTCTCTACATGGGAAAGGTAACATCATCAGTGATAATAATGATGATAATCATGGGAATTCACATATAAATAGAGCTTTACAGATACAAAGCAATTAACATACATCATCTAGGGGAGGAAGTGTGGTACAAAGGAAGAGGCCTGGATCTGGAGACAGAAGAGTTTTTCTGTGGACCGTGTGACCTTGGGTAAGTCACTTAATTTCTCTGGGTTGTCTTTTTCTTCATCTGTAGATTGAGGGGTATGGACTAGATGAGATGTAAGGTCCTTTCATCTCTGGATCTATAATTTTATGACTTCTGACATCCCAGCCAGCCAGCTTTCAATCTATGATGTTACTAAGATCTCTTGATCTCATAGGATAGTGTAAAAAGTACTGAATCTGGTATCAGAGGACTAGAGGTCAAAATCCCAGCTTTGCTGTTTACTCATTAGGTGACCTCAGGCAAATCACTTTATTTCTCTGGGTCTCAGTTTACTCATTGGTAAAATGAGGGGGTTGGATGAGATGGCCCCCTCTAGCTTTGAATTTATGAACCTATTATCTCTTCTGACCATCAGAAGAAAACCCTATGAGATAGACAATGGAAATATTATTACCTCTATTTTTTGGGTAGGGATACTAATGTCATCTAAAGACCTTAATCCACTTACCCAAGGTCACATAGCTAAATTAGTGTTAGAGACATCATTTAGATTCAGGTTTTTTGACTCTAGAGCTTTTTATGTTCATGTGGGTCTAGGCTTCCAGTAAGTCATTAATCATATGTATGCACGTGGGCTCGAGAAGCAAAGGATAACCCATATTGTAGCCATCTCAGGGCTAGATTCTAAATACGAGGTGTCCCCAAAGTCTTAGTGCAATAAGCTATTAATACTTGTTGTATGTGACAACCACATTTGGATTACTTGTATGTGATTATTTGTAGGAACATTGTTATTCTGTGTTGGTTATCAGCCAGCCCAGTAGTGTCAAACACAAATAGAATTGGACCCCTTCTTGGTCCACTCAGCTGTGCTCATGGCTTTCCAACTCAGATTAGCTTCTATCTATTCTGTATACATTCTGAATTTTATCCAGTTGCTTTCATTGTATCCAACTTTGTGACCCTATTTAGGGTTTTCTTGGCAGGGTGGTTTGCTATCTCCCTCTCCAGCTCATTTTATAGATGAGGAAACTGAGGCAAACAGGGTTAAATGACTTGCCCAGGGTCACATAGCTAATAAGGGTCTGAGGCCAGATTTGAACTCAGGTCTTCCTGATTCCAACCCACTATCCACTATTCCACCTAGCTGCCCCTCTCAGCATTCTAGGCAACTCTTAGAGAGTATAAGTTTTAAAGAAGGTGCCAATCTATATTGGTAGAGGGAGTTTTTCTTCACCTACGAGTTCTGCATGCCAATGAAATCACTAGTCTGGCCCCTTTGCTAATTTCTAGTACGTAGGAAAAACTGGGACTTGAACCAAATTCCCCTGGCCCCATATCCTATGTTTCTTCTGCTCTAACTACATTGCTTCCTACCATCCTGGCCAATGTCTGTCTCCTCTGCAGATGAAGCCAGCTCATGAGGTTTAGGGCAGTGATACGAGGCTGGAGCTGGACTGGTGGGGATGGGAGGTTTCCCTTGTACTCTAGTGGCAGAGGAAGAGGGAGTTAGTCTGATTACCAGTCTCATAGTCTAGTGGTGTCAAACTCAAATAGAAATGGGGTACATAAGTATCCTTGTGGGCTCATATTGACTTAGCCCATATCACATATTAACATTATTTATGTTTTATTGTGTTTTTATTTATTTTGTTAAATATTTTCCAATTATATTGTAATCTGGTTGTGGGGCACTTGGTAGTGTGGTGGCTCTGTATGTTTGACCCCTCTGCCATAGTCTCCATTTGTTATATCAGCTATGGTTCCTTGCTTTCTTCGGTCCTGGACATCGATGGGGGGCCAGGGACACACAGCATCCCTCCTATCTTTCCGAACCTGTTTCAAGACCCCCTCTAGCTTACCTCCTCTGGAAACTTGTCTGAGACGCCCCCTTTCTAGTTGTACCTTTGTATCCAACAACGTTATCCCTTAGACAAACTGGTCTTTAAAGTCATGCTGATTTACATTTATTTATGAGATTTTCCCCTTTGTGTTTCTCATGTCTTTTTTCATGTCTATTTGTGTGGTCTCCTCTATTAAACTGGGAGAGCTCTGAGGGTCAGGGTCGTATCTTCTGCCTTACTGTGGGTCTGCAGATCAGCTGACCTATTGAAGAGATGATCAATGGTATGGGTCATGGTGCCTCAGCCCTTTGCTGTATCTTTGCTCCAAATTGACCCTTCTCTGAGTTTTGCCTGGATCTAGACAGACATTAGACCTTGAACTCTGTAGATCTTTGCTGGCTACTCATTCTACTTATTCCTGGCTGACCCCAGGGATAATCCTTCTTCTGGGATGACATTCCATAAGGAAAGAGAATTGAAGATTCTTTCTTTTTATTTATACTCCTTATTCCAATCAGTGACAATCCTCAGAGTTTGGGGGGCTGGCCAATCATCTCTAATCTTCTCTCCCTAAGACATGGTATCGGGAAGGAGAAACTTTTACCATCCTTGACCCTTAGCCTTGACCCATTTTCTTTGCTTGTTTCTTGAAGAATTCAATTTGACCAAAATACACAACAAAGCCCCCAGAGATTTTATTAAGTCCTTACCATGTATGTACCAGGTGGTGAGGATACTTTTGCCTGAGCCACCATCTCCTTCTCTCCCTCCTGGAATGCACTCCCTATTTACCTTTTCCCCTTAGATTCCCTTATCTTCTTTAAGATGCAGCCCAGGGGCCATCTTCTACATGAAACCTTTCCTGAAGCCCTTAACTGCTTAGGTACTTCCTCATAAAGTAACTTGTATTAAATTACTTTGTATATAGTTGTATCTATTCACTTCATACTACGTGTATATTTATAAGTATACTTACTGTCTTCTTCATTAGAATGTAAGCTGTTTGCAAGTAAGGATCATTTCATTCTTTGTACTTGTATCCCCAGTACTTAGCACATAGTGCCTGGCACATAGTAGGTGCTTAATAAATAAATGCTTGTTGATTGAGTGATTGCCCTGAAGGAGGGAACTTGACAGGAGGAAAACAACATGCAACCAGTTAAGTAAAAACAAGGTATTTTAAAGGGAGGTAGAGAGAATTAGCTAACTGGGGAATCTGGGAAGGGTCAAAGATTTAGAGGTGGATGAGACTGTACAAATCAGCTGCTCCAACCCTCTCATTTTACAAATGAGGAAACTGAGGTTCAGAGGAGTGAAGCAGTTTGCCCAAGGTCACGTGAGCAGTGTACAGAGGAGTCACAGATTTTATCTAAAACAGGCAGGTTAGGTAGCTAGATGTTCGGGCGATAGACACTAAGGCCTTAGAATCTTGAGTATCTGGTCTGCGCCAAAGTCCAGGAACACCCTGGGCCTGGAACTCTGGCACTTCAAGAAGGATTAAGGCGGCCAGGGGCATACAGACAAGAAACGTGCTGTCTTCCTCCTTCTCCTCCAACAAGCTTAGATTGGTAAAAGAAAGGTAAAGAAGGCGGCATTTCCGATGTCTCAGGGGAATGCTGGGATTTAGCTAGGACCTGAGTATCATGGTTATGATAGAGACAAAGTCCACTCTGCCCTGCTCTGACTAGGGGAGGCAGCATGGTACAAGGAAAGAATGGATTTGGAGTTCAAATCCCAGCTCTTCCTCATCTTCTCTGTGTTGCCCTGGGCAAGTCACTTAACTTTCTCTGTGCCTCAGTTTCCTCACCTGTAAAATAAGGGGTATGAGGATCACTCCTGCATCTGGTACAATGGAGCACCAGATTGGTAAAAATAGATTTTTACCAATGCAAAAACACAATTTCTCTGCAACCTATGGTCACAGAGAGTTTCTTGGGGGCAGTGGCAAGTGAAATGAGTTGCCCAGGGTTACATAGCCAGGATATATTACAGGCAAGGTTTAACCCAGATCATTGTGATTCTAATATTGGCCTGCTATCCCTGCACTAACCTGCCTTTCCACATTGCCTTCGTAATTCCACGTAAAAATCCATCTGATACATGGTATGCTTTTCAGGCAGAACTGGGACTAGGAGAAAAGAAGACAGGCAACTGCAGCAATGGACCCTTTCTTAATACGATTGATTAGGGAAGGGATAGGGACTAGACCCATGACTTTATTGATATAAAGAACTCCCAGGTCAGGAAACTCCCTCTACCAATGCAGGTTGTCACCTTTGCAACTTAGAGGCTTACTAGGTAGCTAGGTTTCACAGAGGATAGAGCACTGGGCCTGAGATCAGGAAGACAGAAGTTCAAATCCAGTTCCAGACACTTACTAGCTATGTGACCCTGGACAAGTCACTTAACTTGTGTCTGTATTAGTTTCCTCAGCTATGAAATGGGGATAATAATAGCACCTGCCTCCCAGGTTGTTACAAGGATCAGAAGAAATAATATCAGATGAAATAGTAAAGTGCCTAGCACAGTGCCTGGGACAAAGGAGGAGTTCAAAAAATGTTTTTGTTGTTGTTTGTTTGTTTGTTAGTTTTTTATTTTTTTTTGAGAGAGTTACCTAAAACACTAAGGTTTGGTGCACTCCCAGGATCACATAGCCAGTACATGTCAGCAGAAGCAGGACTTAAACCCAGGTCTTCTTGGTTTTGAATCCAGCTACCTATGCAACCACAGTATGCTGTCTCTTAATTTATTGTAGAATCTATTAATTCTTAACATCAAATAATTGATTTGTTAACATTTAATAATATTAAACTAATTTGCTATTAGAATTTCCCTTATTTTTCAGATTCATGAACTGTTAGAACTGATAGGGTATTCAAATATCATCTAATTGAACTGGATTATTATATTTTTATTTTTTGGAGGCAATCAAGATTAAGTGACTTGCCCAGGGCCACACAGCTAGTAAATGTCTAAGGCTGGATTTGAATTCAGATCCCGCTGACTTCAGGGCTGGTGCTCTATCTACTGTGCCACTTAGCTACTCCACAAACAGGATCGTTTTATACATGAAAACAATGAAGCCCAGAGATATAAAGTGATTTGTCCAAGGTCACACAGCAAATCAATGACAGAACTACCAAGTCTTAGCTTTATACCCCAGAAAATCTTGCTCTCCATGGCATATTGGTAATTATTTTAGTGAAAAGTCAGTTTGCAGGAGTTACTGGGAAGGCTCAAAGCCACTTGTGGATAGTAACAGTAGGGGTAAACTGTCCAGATGATATAAGGTTTGTAAAGGACTTTGCAAACCATCAAGGGTGGTAGCAATCTGAGCTGTCACTGTTGTTATTCAAACCTCACCTATGATGCACAAACCCCAAGTCTCAGCTTTGCTCTAGGGCTTCTTGGGAGCCTGGGAATAAGGAACTTCAGAATGATGGAGGGTGATGTTGGGAGAGGTAGCATGTTACCAAGCCTTGGGCCACCCTTCCAACTGAATGTAGTCCTCTCCAAGCTCTCCACATTCTAGTGATCTCTCCCTTTGCTGAACGGTGCCGGCAGCATTCTCTATCTGCATTACTCATCCTGACTCATAGTCAATACAATCTTGCATCATCACTTAACTTCTTAATGTACATTAGGGCTTCTCCTGTTTACTTATCAGCTCCACGGGGGGTGGGGGGGAGGATGGGCTGCATCTTTCACTTGGAAGTACCTGGCACATCATTTTGCATATAGCAGGTGCTCGATCCATTAAAACTACGTGGTGACTGATCAGGCAAGCCTGGGACCCATGGCTACAAGAACTCTGCCACCATTCATGGGCAGGATCCTAGCTTCAGCCCTACTGGACTCAGAGAAACAAACACTCACCCAACTTCCCCACAAGTGTGCAAGGCAGTGCTGGGTGATAGAGGAAGAGAAGCAGAAAGAGAGGGAGTTAGAAGGAGATGCCGGTTACCTCTTACTGTTGTTCCTCTGTTTGGCTGGTGTCTTAGGGAGCTGTATCGGCTCTTTTAAAGCACCCTTCAGGTGAATGATCCTTTCTTGAATCACCTCTCGAATGTTCTTGATCCACTCCTGCTTGGTTTCAATACTGGAGGCCTAGTGTGGGATGGCGGAAAGAGGACAGGGCTTTAAAAGCGTAAATAACAGCCAAGTAGACGTTTATATAGCATCTTTAATTTTTAAATCGCTTTAAATGCATTATTCTCCTTTATTCCCTATAATAACTCCATGGGCCAGATGTCATTATTATTCCATTTGACAGATAAGGAGTACAGTTATCCCTTCCACAACATGACTTTTCCCATAGTAGTTTTGCTGTATTGCTGGTCTGCATAAGAAATTAAATGAGAATTTTTTGGAAGTTTTGCAGAAGCCACAGATGACATGCAAAGGCCAGCAGACAACACAGAACAAGTTTAGAACTCAGAAATGCATTGCACACACACACACACACACACACACACACACACACATATATGTAGTACTGTATATAGATATAGTATTACATAATATCAACCCAAATTTTATAATAAGGTACTATAAACACCCCATAAAGGAAAAAGAAAAAATTCAAACTTCTTTTCTGGTACAAAGGCAGGGCCAAAAAATTTTACATGGATTTTCCAGATCACAGGGTTGCCGCGCCCCTAACCCCTGCGATGTGGAAGGGATAACTGTAGTTAAGTGGCTTGCCCAGGGTAACAGTTGAGGGGATATTTGAACCCAGATCTTTGTGACTCCAAGTCCAGCATTCCATCCATGATGCTTTATGCCAGTGTTCCATTTTTCAAAATAACCTTCTTCCCAAATACATTTATTCTATTATTCCTCCAGCACTTGGAGTGGTGTTTGGTACATGGTAAGCACTTAATAATACCAATAATCATAAATATTATTATTTTTATCATAGCTAGCATTTATCAGGCACTGTACTAAGGACTTTATAATTATTATTTCATTTGATCATCACAACAACCCTGAGAGATAGGTGCTATTATTATCCCCATTTTACAGATGAGGAAACTGAGGCAAACAGAGGTTAAGTGACTTGCCTGGGGTCACAAAGTTAGTAAGTATCTGAGGCCATATTTGATTTCCTCCCCTCCCATCCCTCCCCCCCCAATCATTTTTATTCATTCTCTATATACATGCATTTGTATTGTACGTGTACATCCTGAAAGCTCCTCAAATGCAGCAACCATCTGTTCTATACTAGACCCCCTAGTACTCAGTATAGATTTGTAGAATGAGTTCTAGGGACGTTCATGGAATTCTTTTGCACATCTGATATCTCTTTCAGGCCTTGTATTGCTCCTATAGGCCATGCTGTCTGAAGTCCTTTATATGTTTATATGTATGAAATAGCCTTGCTGACCATTAACTGCCAACAATTCAGGGAATGACCGTCCTCTCCCCTTGTCTCCACTACTTCTCTACCTCTGCCTTCTCACCCTGGCAACAGCTCCACCTCTGTAGCCTCCTCCTTTGTTTGCTGAGTTCTTACCCAGAAGAACCTCCATTTTGATGAAGTACCCACAAAGCCATGCTTAATTCCAACCCAGCTGAGCCCCTGACTCTTTGGACTACTGCTCTTCCTTTCCCCTGTGGGGATGGCTTCCCCCTACCTTTCCAGTTCTTCTTTATGTATTATTTTTCCCAATGATAATGTAATCTCTTTGAGAGTAAGTACTCTTTCTTTTTATGTGCATTTGTAATAATAGAGGGCAACAGAGTGCCAGCCACATAGTGACTGTTTAATAAATGTGCATGCTCTCTCTCTTGCTCTCTCTCTCTCTCTCTCTCTCGCTCTCTCTCGCTCCATCTCTCTCTCTCCCTCTTTCTCTTGCTCTCTCTCTCCTCTCTCTCTCTCTTGCGCTCTCTCTCTCCCTCTCTCACTCTCTCACTCTCTCCCTCTCTCACTCTCTCCCTCTCTCACTCTCTCTCCCTCTCTCTCCCTCTCTCTCTTGCTCTCTCACTCTCTCTCTTTCTCTTTCTCTCACTCTTTCTCTCTCTTTCTCCTCTCTCTCTCTTTCTCTTTCTCTCACTCTCTCTCCCTCTTTCTCTCTTGCTCTCTTTCTCTCTCTTTCTCCTCTCTCTCTCTTTCTCTTTCTCTCACTCTCTCTCCCTCTCTCTCTCT